CCCACTGGAGCAAGCTTGCATAAGCAACAAAAACGAAAAAAGAAACTGTCAAAACCAACTTTCTTACACTTGTCGGACCTCATTTTTCATGGTACATAATTCTGCTTATAGTGCTTTACACACACTACACAAAAGCTTGCTCCAGTGGGTGGTCAAAATTGGGGCACGTTTGCGCCAATCTTCGGCGATCTTGCTACATTCTTGGGGCATATCCTTTTCCATATTGGCGCATTTCACCCGATGTTGGGGCTCTCTTGAGCCTTCTCGTGGATGCAAGCTTGCTCCAGTGGGTGGTCAAAATTGGTGCGCGTTTGCGCCAATCTTCGGCGATCGTGGTGCATTCTTGGGGCATATCCTTTTCCATATTCGCGCATTTCACCCAATGTTGGGGCTCTCTTGAGCCTTCTCGTGGAGGTATGTTGGAAGTGATTGGGGCTGTGGGGTCTAGATCAGGGCTATGTTGAAGGCTTTGCTGCTGTTATGTCACTTGTTTTGCGTCCACTTGGCTGCTTTTTCTCTGCTGTTTGACTTCGGCACGTGGTCTTTTTCGTAGCGCGGGTAAAACACTGTAAAAGCATTGAAAAAATGAGGTCCGACCAGTGTAAGAAAAGTGGTTTTGATAGTTTTCTTGGTCATTTTTGCTGCTTTGTCTTATGAAAGCTTGCTCCAGTGGGTGGTCAAATTCGGGGCACGTTTGTGCCAATCTTCGGCGATCTTGGTGCATTCTTGGGACATATCCTCTTCCGTATTGGAGCACTCCACCCAATGTTGGGGCTCTCTTGCGGCTTCTCGTGGAGGTATGTTGGAAGTGATTGGGGCCGTGGGGTCTAGATCAGGGCTATGTTGAAGGTTATGCTGCTGTTATGTTACTTGTTCTGCGGCCATGTTGGTCCACTTAGCTGCTTTTTCTCTGCGGTTTGACTTGGGCAGGTGAAAATGACAAAAAAACTGTCAAAACCAACTTTCTTACACTTGTCGGACCTCATTTTTCATGGTACAGAATAATTTTCTATAGTTCTTTACACAGACTACGCAAAAGACCACCTGCCCAAGTCAAACCACAGAGAAAAAGCAACCAAGTGGACCAACATGGCCGCAAAACAAGTAGCGTAACAGCAGCAACGCCTTATAGCCCTGATCTAGACCCCACAGCCCCACTCACTTCCAACATACCTCCACGAGAAGCCTCAAGAGAGCCCCAACATTGGGCGAAACGTGCCAACATGGAACAGGATATGTCCCAAGAATGCACCAAGATCGCCGAAGACTGGCACAAACGTGCCCCGACTTTAGGCACCCACTGGAGCTAGCTTTCATAAGACAAAGCAACAAAAACGACAAAGAAAGCTGTCAAGACCACCTTTCTTCACTTGTCGGACCTCATTTTTGCATGATTTGTGTGTTTCACACGCACTGGGCAAAAAGACCACCTGCCCAAGTCAAACAGCAGAGAAAAAGCAGCCAAATGGACCAACATGGCCGCAAAACAAGTAACATAACAGCAGCAAAGCCTTCAACATAGCCCTGATCTAGACCCCACGGCCCCAACCCCTTCCAACATACCTCCACGAGAAGCCTCAAGAGAGCCCCAACATTGGGTGAAGTGCTCCAATATGGAAAAGGATATGTCCCAAGAATGCACCAAGATCGCCGAAGATTGGCACAAAGGTGCCCCGAATTTGACCACCCACTGGAGCAAGCTTTCATAAGACAAAGCAACAAAAACGACAAAGAAAACTGTCAAGCCCTTTCTTACACTTGTCGGACCTCACTTTTCACGTCTTTTTTTGTGTTTTACACGCACTACGCAAAGGACCACCTGCCCAAGTCAAACGCCAGAGAAAAAGCAGCCAAGTGGACCAGCATGTCTGCAAAACAAGTGACATAACAGCAGCAAAGCCTTCAACAGAGCCCTGATCTAGACCCCACGGCCCCAATCACTTCCAACATACCTCCACGAGAAGGCTCAAAGAGAGCCCCAACATTGGGCGAAACGCGCCAAGATGGAGAAGGATGTGCCCCAAGAATGCACCACGATCGCCGAAGATTGGCACAAACCTGCCCTAAATTTGACCACCAACTGGAGCAAGCTTTCATAAGCAATAAAGCTCTCACAAACACATTTCTTGCACTT